TGAGCTTTATACACCAAACAAACTAATATCCCGGTATTCGAAGCGTTACTAAATAGTTTTTTTAAAGAATTCATTGGGATATAAAGGACAATAATAGACAATCAAGTAGTAGAGAAGACAATCGAGCAGACTACAAACAAGGCTAGTAGTGAGATTTGTCAAGGTTATTGTAAATTGGGTGTAAGACAATCCAAGGCTGCTATCCCTATATTTTATTACTTTGTTGGTTTTATGATTAAAACGACGCTTTCTGTTAACTTGATTTGAAGAGAAAAAAACACTTTTTCACCCTATCATGTCCATAAGATATTTTGTTAGAAAATGACACCTGCTGAATCTAAGAATATTGCAAACTTCATTTCCACATCTGTACCTGGTGCTCAAATGTATAGCATTCTAAATGAAAAATGGAATCTACCTAGTTCTTTTCCTTTTAATAAGCGAGAAATGTACGGGTTAAAAAGATTCTTCAAATATGCGTGGCTGCACTATTTCCCATGAATTGTCTATTCAACTTCACAGGACGGAATTTAATGCAAATTTTGCGTTTTGTTCCGTACTGACGACAACCCCGGACAGTTTGTTAAAATAACCGTTCACAATAGGGGTAAAGCAACTGGTGAATGTTAATCTAAAAAACAACCCAAAAACACCAGCCTTATTAAGTTCACAAGACTTCACCAACACACATGATAAGACGGCTAGATGATTAGATGCAAGGGCTGATACAACATTTGCAAAACGGGTGTAATTAAATAATTCAACTAATCTAAAAAGTTTATTTTGAGTAACCATATGCCGAACAAAAAGTGTGCCAATTATTGAAAAAAACATATGGTTTGGTTTAATAAGAATACTTCTCTAATGTTTAAAAACATTTCTCACAACCCCCCCGCTTTAAGCTCTGGATCCGCGCCTGTAAAACTACAGGCGGGATAAAAAGAACAGGCATATGGACATGTGATGTTGATATAATAGTTTATTTTAGTACTAAATCTTCCCAATTCATGATCGATCGATCAGAGGAATAACGGCAGTGGGAACCTGGAGACAAAATATTACCTCCCCTGTAAACACAGAAATCTTGATCTGTTCAATGTTTGTCTCGTTTTAGCAAGAACGCTAATACTTGTAAATAGTTACAATACAATTATATTGAAATAAAAATATTATTTTCATATAATGTTATCATTTCACTCCTGAAATAGCAAATGACAGGTACAGCAGGCTATATGAGCTTTGTGTTAAAATGGTTCAAAATGGTGCTATGCGAATAAACTCCTGGAGTACCAACTTTTATTTATTTTATACGGCCTGTATCCCTCTCGGGAACACGCCACTTATCCGTACATGAATGCAGCTAAATCAGAGAAAAAAATCCAATGGAACCAATCGATATGCAGCAAAGATTAACACTTTTAAATAAAAAGTTACTAAGTAAATTCAAATAGAACTTATCCCTTTTTAAACATTGAATGTGAATAGATCGAGAAGACCACAAATACATGTACAGAAGTCGAGACGACCTTTTCTTAAAATTGCAATGAAAAATAGTAAAACTCTTTTAACGGATATCCTACTGTACAAAATATTTACCTTTATTTTTTCTTCCTGAACAGATGTGACTTTTAAATTATTATCTTCACGAATAGACAGTATTTCTATATTGAGAGTTCACGTTACAAGAGCAGACCGGTGTACTCGAAAACGTAAGATGTGAAAAATAGGTATATTTAGGGAAATTGTTACATGCCAATGACTATGTGGAACATTCCAAAAATGTTGACCCGAAATATCTTTAGATTTTTTATGTACATGATTTTTTTCCTATTTTTTTTTTTATCAATATGCAGTAAAGATTAACATTTTTTAGATTTCAGTTTTACAAGCTTTTTAATGCAAGTATCTCTGTATTAAATGATATTATATTTGCGAGTATATTTTTAATAATATAGTTTAACAAATAATTTATTTAAAATGTACCATTGTTGTTTAGTAATAACTTTTAATCGGTATCGTCACCGGCATTGTTTTACTATTGAATGAATTATCTATAGGCTAGGATGAAAAATTTTGTCCTTCATTTTTTTTAGTTGTAATCTCTGTCCTGCTTTCTTTATTTTTCACTCTATTCGGTCCTGCCTTTTCTTTATTAGTTTATCCTAACTTTACATAAATTGTCATCCTGTTTTTTTTTTTGTTGCAAAGTTGCTCATCCTGCCTTTTTTTTACTCAAAACTCTTGTCCTTCCTTTTTTCAAATTTCATCCTAGCCCCCCCCCCCCACCCCCCCCCCCCCCCCCCCCCCCCATAAAAATCAAATGGTAGCTCCCTAAAGCTCGAGGCCAAAATATTTGAAAACTTTAAACTTTGATAGTCGATGATGCACTTTGGATTATATTTAACACAGCAACTTCATTTACAATAAAGGAATGCATGATAGTGTACTGTACATGTACGCACGAATGTCATAAGCAAATGTTTGTATAACATCCTAATGAAGAACGTATAGGCAAATTCATATAAGTATATAAAACATAACACTTTATAAATAAATATACATGCATATCTATGCTAAATAATTGGCTAGTTTCATTGAAAAATACCCTGCCATACACAGCACAACTACATTATTAGAGCCATTGCATGGTCAACACCAACTATAAGATATTTCAAGCATTAAGTCTTATCGGGTCCGGAAAATTGTGGAAAGGAACAGATACTTTCAAATACCGGACAAAAATGTAAAAAGGCAAACAAAGCGAGCAAACTAGTCCAGTCCATTCACAACGACCATAACTGCCACTGTCACATCAGGGAACTTCTTTCCTTTTCGGTCGATTGAGTATAAGTTTCAATTCCCGTCGTCTGGTCTACTATATTGTTGAAATTCCTTTTCCGACTTGTGTTTTACTTTTTTGCCGTTTCGTATCATCTTACTTTTTATCATTAGCTAAATATGAAAGCAAAATACTTGTCAAAGATGCATTTCAATTCCCGTCGTTTGGTCTACTATAATTTTGAAATTCCTATTCCGACTTGTGTTTTACTCTTCCTGTCGCTTCGTATCATCTTACTTTTTATCATTAGCTAAATATGCGAGAAAAATACTTGTCAAAGATGCAGATTTTAACTAAGAAATTATTTGTCGTCTATTAATGATATCATTAAAGATTTAACAAGGCTCGCGACAGATTGTGTACGTTTAATGGCGTTTTGTACTAATGCCGTTTCCTCAAGCCTTATATAATATTATAAATAACAATCGCTAAAATACCTCTTTCCAAATTAACAAAATGAAATAATTTTTCTTTCAAAATGACATAACAGTTTTTGCTACAGAATACTTTTTTTTTCCTCCATGCAGTTTTGAGGCAACGATGTAATCTATTCAACTAAGAACAAAAACATATATTTTCTTTTAAAGGGAAAGAAATGTTAGAATTGCATAGTGATGAAAAATCCATACAATCTTGATAAATCTGTAAGACTGTTGTGTTCGAATGAATAACAGATGATAAATATCTCTTGAAATCAAAGATAAGGAGATCCAGTATATTTGCCAATGGAACTGCATTTTACTACGCATCGTGTAAAATTATGATAACAGATTGGCTTGCGTATTTTTTTTCTCCGTCCACGATTATTGGTCATTTATTAAAAAAAAGAAATTAATATATGTGTGAAATAGATAATAACTTTTATAAAATCTTAGCTTTAAAAAAGAAGATTACTTTATATGTTAGTAAAATTATCGTTTTAATCAACTATTTTTATCTATTTGGTGGTTCTTTTTTTCACTTTCGCTATTTTAACAACCATTGCTCTCGCTGTTACATAACCCACGTGTGATATCGAGGCGTTAAATCGATATAAATCAATCAATTTATCAATTAATCAATCAATTAATTAATCAATTAATCAATCAATCAATCAATCAATTAACCAATAAACCAATCAATCAATCTTCGCTTATACTGCTTAGTGTAATGATGAACGAATTGGAATCGCCCATAGTTAACTGACAGATGATCAATAGAATAAGACATTAACATGTCTAAAACATGTTTGTGCAGTTGTGATTATGCCTCGTACCGACCTTTACATCCACTTTATTTGAACTTTGGATGATAGTTGATTCATTGGCAATCCTACCAGATCTACTTTTTTTTATACTGATGAGTCAATTGATCATTGATATGTGATGCGACTGGCAATGAGACAACAACACCCAGTGCAGTTGAAGCGGATTTAAGCAACTGTGAGTCACTGTATGGCCTTCAACAATGAACAAAACCAATTCTAAGTAGTCATCTATAGAAGGCACCAACAGGACAAAATGTGAAACGATTCAGACGAAAAAACAAACCGGCTGATTTATAACAAACAAAACAATAAACGAAAAACAAATATGACAGACTGCAGCCTCCGACGATCACTAAATTACAGGCTTTCCTTGACTACGATGTTTTTTAGCTTACTGTATGGACTTGCCGTACAGTGACCAATTAGTTGTTTATTACATCCTTATCCTGTGGTCGCCAGTGGATAGTTATCGTGTTTGCACTAACTAATATAAAGCTGAATTCAGACTATTATGCATAAAAACGTAGACTGGTTCCCTTTGTATTATCTATTGAGGTGAAAACAGATATAAGACAACAAGCGGTACTCCGGTAATAAAAATGCCCGCATGTTGCAAATGAGAGAACAAATCTACTTTAAAATAGGGTTTTTATAATTTATGCAGCAACAATTTTTATATTAAAGATAATGTGCCATCACAATTGGCAGTTGCATTGAATCTTGGCATTTAATTCAAATTGTATTTACTCTTTTGTTATATTGAAGTTACTACGAAAAATTAAAGTCCTATATTTGTCTTATTGACACTAATACATTTTGAAAAGAAAACGCATTAAATTAGGACGAGCATGGCGAAGATACTTATTTCATAATTATTTTTTTCGAGGTGGCGATTAAGCAAACAAAAGCTCCATCCCAGAAAAAAATAGACACATTTTATTAAAATACAGAACTTTCAGCATTTAAACACAGACGGATATAAATTGTTTTGTTGTGTTGAATTATTATAAGTCAAGACAGCGCATACTGTGACCTTTTAAAGTAGGTAAAATATACATGAGCAATAATTAGAACAAGTCCTATTGTGGTTGGTCCTAATAATCCAAGAAAAGATTCTACATTCAGGGTGAACCCGATTACGCCCATCAACAGCAGACAGCTTATTATTGCCATTGATAACCATCTAACAACAAAAATATGCTTAGCGTTATTGGGACCGTCGGGAATGTTAGTTGTCAATTTTGTTTGTGATGCAGATAAAGCTGATGGGAAATCATTGTTTATTGAATACGATGACGACAATTTGCTACCAGACACACTCCTTTCCATCGTTAGATTGTTTGACGCATTTGACCTCGTTTGATCCGGTATTTCAGGAAGATCATCATTGCCATGGTACCAAGCTACCTGGAAACCGTTGACGTATGCTACACTGCTTGAAAAATAGCACATGATGACATACTGAATTGGCATGACAAGGATGTTGTTAGCGAAAAAGTCGGTGGTCTTTCCTATCATAGCAATGACAACTGAACCTGTCGCCTGACCACTGGTGGATTGCAGCTTCATGTTTAATAACACCTACAAAACAAAAATCCGGTTTAATTTATTTCACAGGGAGTGTAACGATTTGTTAATGCTATGATTGTAGTGAGCTGAATATAACTATTGGAATCAGAACGTATGACTGTATAACAAAATTATGATGTACCGTTTAACTGTCGTTCGTGAGACTCACCCGGGCACTTGAACTCAACGCAGGTTCTTGAAGGTATCATGATACTTAATATCTATGTTATTATGATTGTGTATATATATGGTCTGAATTTTTATTCTATTATGGTGTAAATATTTGTGTTATTACGTTCTAAAGCAATGGTGGATACAGGGGGCGAATAGAGAGTACGCCTCCCCCATTTGATCGTCGAAATTTTTTTAGGAATATTACGTTTTTCACAATTTAGATAACGTTTCAGTATAAAATCGTCCAAAAGGTTTTTTTCGCTCGATCTTTATATTTACTGAACATGCTGAATGGAATAACGTTCACGCTGTAAGTGAAAAAAAAGTTGTTTTTTTTTCTTAGGACATCGATACTTTAATTGAATGAGTTTTTGGTGTACTTTTTAACATCATACTTAATTTGTGCATTTATGTTTCCAAACTGAATATCTAATTGGTAGAAAGTGTTTTGGAACTTGAATGTGATATTCCGAATTTGCTCTTTACTTTCTTAATGTAATGAATATTGAAGAAAACTAATGAATTAGGACACTGAACCACTACTGTCCATAACGGAGTCATTTCATTCGATATGGAGTGTGACAATTTCATCTTTATTTCTAAACAACGAAAAACAAATTCAATTATAAAACCATATGTCGATAGATCATGTGTAAATAAGTCCGGCACTCCTTTTGAAGAAGTCATAAGAACTGATATTGAATTAAGGCAATTCTAAAAGGAAATTGATTGATAACAACTGAATTAATTCCATGTCTGATCCAAAATAAAGAATGATAAATTATCAATTCAAAAGTGACGAGGAAATAGAAGAATTTAAGATTCGTTAACGAAGAGTAAATAGAACTGACGACAGAGGTTTTTTAATTGTTTCGTGTTACTCTATTATGACATCAATTGCGTCATTGTAACAGGTATATCACTTGTCTGTTTGCAATAACTTTACATTTTATATTAGTACGACAACAAATCGTTCAATAATGATAAGGGTCTTCTTATGTTATGCATAAAACATAAATGATTGTTCTTTAAAACGCGAAAAACAGTTCCATACAGGCGTTTGTATAATAAGTAATCAGAGAAATACACATTGCTGAAAAAAAATACTGGCTTTTTTTGGTTTCTTTGTTGTTGAAAGAATGAAGATATTTCGAAAGTATCTGACCTATTGTGGTAAATTATAAATGGTGTATAATTTCAAGACTTAAGACGTTTTTATTGAAAGCACTAGAACCTAAAGCTTACACATGGATGTCTATTCACACGTGTGTTCATGAGAGACCAAGAAAGGAACCCTCAAAACACTTAAAGTACATGTATGCTTGTAAAGCAATTAAACACCAGTACAATATGTGTTAAAAAAGAGATGCAGCTGACACAAAAGGGATAGTATTCAAACTCATAAGTCAAAGACACACTGACAACACCATGGTAAAAAACCCGAAAAACGACGAAAAGACAAACAAATGAACAGTATAAAAACCGGAGATTATCTTAGATGCTTCAGAAAGGTCCTCCTCATCGTGTGGCACCAAATAAATAAAAAAAATACCATTTACATATGATTTATAACATTTTTGGAAAGGTACCACTAGTATTAACTGCTTATTCTTCTAGGAAACTAGATTCAACGACCACGTGGTGTAGCTCACGGTATCATAACTGTAGCAAAATTGTCCAAGTTTATATCATGTAAAGTTCTATGGAATACATTTGACTTGTCTATTTTTTGTGTATACTTGTAAATATAGTGTTATCTATCATGATTGGACAAAATGGGAGTATCATATAGGAATTTGCAAGGCCGTTGGTTCAAGATTTTTAAGACAAAAAAAACAAGGATGTGATGAACTCAATGTTTAATCTTACATTATCTTAAAGTGCCTCGTTCAAGTAGTTGTATTGTTCCTGTATTATGACTGTATTCGTTTAGATTTCTTTGCAAGATTTCAATCACAATTCGTCAATATTACCATGCATCTGTCTACTTCAATGCACACAATGTATCGAGATCTACTGAAATCGCTGCTACGGGGCGTTTTGAAATTGAGCTAAGGTTTTTTTTTTGCTCTTAGTGGAAGACCTCATTTAAACTTATAGATATCTTACATCAATTAAAGCGCTATTCCTGTGCTTTTGCTTTTTTTCATATGCGTTTAGTGATCATTTGTCATAAATTGATACAATCTTTTCTTTTTCATTCTTAAGGAAATGTAAAAGTTAGCTTAGATAGTAAATGATCATACTATACCAATTTGATATCCAACCGCCTTCCCCTTTCAAATCAGAGCAATAATATGTGATTTGGCTTCAAATACCTACCTGTGCTCGAAGCGTGCACCAAGAAATAAAATGGGTACATTACCTGTGGAAAGGTTTCTATGCACCATAATACAATTGCCACATACTCTATGAAATTCTCCACTTCGAATATCAGTTCAACAGCTATAACAACTGCCCACATGACACCACACACAGCAGCGTAAATTATTTTCAGTATCTTTCGGTACTTTCCATAAATCCAAAATTGCACAAGAAGTGCAAATTCTAAAATAGGACAATACACCGAACTTATCTGTACATACAATGGTATTTTGGCATATATGAATACAAAGAATAAGTTTATCAAAGATGCCGTAAAATTTGATGTGGCCCATAATACACTGAGTCCTCCTACTGATTTCCGGCGGAAGTTCTTCCATACTTGAGGAAGTAGAACTATGAACCACAGCGTGGTGCTACACATACCGCTTACATTGCCAAACACGCATGTCCAGATAGGCCAGTTGTCTCGACAGTTTTGTTGAAGGACATTGTGATTGACACTAGAGTTACCATCTGCCATAATAACGTGTGATCTTATACACCTACATGTAAATATAAAACAAAAGCAGAAAGCAATTAAACAAAACAAAACGAAATAAACCGTAAAACACATAAAAATCATGGTAATCTACAGTTTAGATTGACGGGTGCCGCATGTGGAGCAGGATCTGCTTACCCTTCCGGAGCACTTGAGACCACCCCAAGTTTTTGATGGGGTTCGTGTTGCTCAGTCTTTAGTTTTCTATTTTGTGTTTTGTGTACTGTTGTTTGTCTCTTTATTTTTTTCTTATTTAGCCAAGGCGTTGTGATTTTATTTTCGACTTATGAGTTTGAATGTCTCTTTGGTATCTTTTGCCTCTCTTATACACATGTAAATCAAATCTAAACAGCGACCTTCGTATAATGATATGATTATCATCGCCCCGAGTGCAGACAGGTTGTCAATGGTTTCAGTTTAGACTCTTTTGTGAGAAAATGTATTTGCTTATATACTTGTATATAGAAGATGATGAAAACAAGACTAAGTATTTGATCATCTCAATCAAATTTAATCACAACATTGTCTCGGGGCTTTTTAGAGCTTGACATGTAGTAAAGAAAAAGACAATAGTTCACGACTGGGTTTTGTTTTCCTTAAATAACTTTATTGATATTTGTGTTGTTGTTTTGGTACTTTCATGTGATCATCATGCAGCACGCATCACTTTTTTTGTCATAACAAAGATGTATCATTGACACCAAAGACCTTGTCTGACAAATGACATTGAGATAATAAAATGAAATGCATAATAATTGGAATGGTAAAAAGATACAGAATGGAAAACATAACAATTCAGTCGTTCAAAACTAAATAAATAAATCGCAGTTGTACGTGACCTTAGAGAGATATATTACAGAATAATGCCCATATCATGTTTTCAACTTCTAAGTGAATATATTTCGCCTGGACAATGTATGATTATTTGATTGATTGTTTGGACTTATCGCCACTTTTAAAGCATTATTGACTATATCATACCGGCCAGTTTTTCAAAGTAAATATAGCGACTATGACTTTTTTTTATAATAAATGACAACGATTGCAACGTGCACAACATATGATATTTGAAGATCTGCTGGCCAACCAACAATACAAGAAAGAAATGACATCTAGATGTTTCCGTACGATCTTCAACACAAGACCAGTATCTATATAATTTTAGAAGAACCAAATATGTGGCAGTACAAAACCATGTGATACGGGTTTCAGTGCACAATAGTGTCATCAGACACACATGAGAACATAAGTAACTCTACTGAAAACTAAACAATTTTAAAGTATGACAAAGATCACAATCGAATTAATTTATCGAAAAAGGGCTGAATTCTAAAATTAATATACTCGTCCTTGAGTCTACATGTACTAAAAGAGAGGTGAAAGGTATCGAAGGGACATTCAAAAGTAGAAAGTAGAAAAAAAACTGACAACAACATGGCTTAAAAAATAAAAAATACTAACAGACAAACAACAATACACAAAACACAACATTGAAAACTAAAACCTGAGCAACGCGAACCCGACAAAAACTTGGGGTGATCTCAGGTGCTCCGGAAGCTGTATGTCATATCATAATCATGATATATAATTGGTTCCTTTAACTTTAAAACCTAGTTGTTTGCCATCAGTATTTGAAGACAAGGCACTTCACTATTCTTTAGTTGTTTTTTGACACTGACATTTTAGAGACATGTGCCTCTCTATCAGACCAAAAGAGGTAACGAACATAAAAAAAAACTAGACTAATCATACTCGTTCGTAACTATATAGAGTCGTTAGCGAGTAACTCGAAATTATATTGCGCAGGTAACTATTTTGTCTAATATTTTTCGGTAATTCTTATTTTCTTTTATATAGATATTTTGTTTCTATTACTTATTGCTTATTTCTAATATGTATATGTCTACTTTGATATGTTCATTTGACATTGTCTTCTTTGTTAATATTAAATTCACGTATCTTCTTTTTGACACTGATATGGCCTTTTTTGTGTTCATATGATTTATTTTGTAATATCGAACTAGAGCTTACTCATGGTGATTTAATTTAGTTATATCTTGATATGGTTTTTCCTTTAAAAGTCATAGTAATAGCAGATGTTTGCTCATTGTAGTCTATTTAAGATGTAGAGTCATTGTTTTTACACTCGGGGCCATTATGTTCAGTTTTTCAGTTAATTTTCAGACTTATCCACTGCGGTAAATTCAGTAGTGTTTTGCAGTCAACTCGCTTCCAGTCAATTAAAATATGTTTTGATTATATTCACACTGTTCGGCAGTTGTTATTTACCTGTACAAAACAACAACATACTAAATTGGATAACAATTACTAAGCAGTACTGGATTGTCTGCAAGGAAAACGTCTGAACACTGCTTAAGACTTTAAGTAGTTATATCGTACTATGTTTGCATTTTAACCCGACAGGGTTTCATGTTTTGCAATAAATATATATTTATATGATGTTAAGATCAAAATGGCCGTTTAAATGTAAAATTCCTTCACTAGTGATTGTGGTATAGATGTAGACATTTTTGTACTGGTGTAAGACCTTAAAGATTACTTTCTACTGTTTGCATGGTTTGTGTTGTAAGGTTGTTGTCTCATTGTATACATTGTTTCAATATACAAACACTTACCTGTGAATGTAGTATTATACTTCTACTTTTGTTTCCAATAAACTGAATGTTATGTCGGTAAATAACATACAGCTGTAAAGTGTTATCTACATTATGTTATTTCGACCTTGGATTGTACACTAACAAGTATTTTTAGAAAATGTATTTTGATTGCACTCAAACACCTTCTACTTAAAAGCACTTTACTATTTACACTCTGTACTTAGAGGAAATATATTCACACTCAATCTATCATTGATAGGGCTTACATTGTGTGACATATTTATATCAGCTATCAGATTTAGTCTTGAATGCATGTACTACGGAAACAAACATGTATAAGATATCGTTATCACAAACAGAATATTGACTTTATCAGTCCTTGAACTAATGTTAGAATCTTACTTGTGTCTGAAAGAAAATGTGTCTTGTTTCATTTAAAAAAATATAAAATGTAATACTAGCAAACTGAAGCTAATGACGCAGGGACTGTATTGTACTTGCAGTGAGGTTTCAAGTTTTACCTCCTTATGAAGTCCTCGCTGTAACGTACGTTCAGAAGAAGATTCTGTTTCTTTTAATTGTTCTTTTTTCATGTGAATATACTAGTACCTATTTTTCCATCAATGATTAGTAATGTTTATGTCAAACATGTCTAGAATGTCTAACTTTTTTACCATGTTTAAGAAACCCAATTAATCGTTGTCTGAAATTGATTTAATAGAAAACCGCTAACTCTTTGATAATTTGGTCTTTTTAAAAATTGGGTTTAGAATAGAAAGTTTTAATGAAAATTAGGTGCTCTCATTAAAACTCGTAAATATTTATTTATCCTGTTACATGGAAAATATTTGCATGATTACGTATGCATTGATCATTAACCTCTTGGGTTATCAGTTTAGCAGTATGTGATGTCTGCCATATTTGTTTGTGTTTTTTATACCTTAAAACCCGTTTGTTTTCTCTTTTGAATTGTTTCGCATTTTGTCATACCTGGCCCTTTTAATGCTTATTTTACGGTACGGGTTTTGCTCATTGTTTAAGGCCCTACGGTGACCTTCAATTGTTTACAATTTGTTATGTTGTCTTTATCGATAAATGTATACATCTCCTTATTTTTATAGACGCAATAATACATACTGGGTGTATACAATATTTGAAATCGAATTGAAACGCATAGATACTGAAAGAGTTACCGTGCATTGCAACGAGTTTTCGAATAGTCTTTAAACAAAAAAGATCGGATAAAAATAGGTATCCGAAATACGATAATATCGATGAAGCTTTATTACTGAAATGGCTTGAACAGATTTGTCAACTCTGACTAATATTATGAGAGTCCGTATCCAGACCATTCTCGAAATGTCGGTCAAATATATATAAATTTGGAAAATTTCATATCACAGAAGTTTTACATTTTACATGATAAATAAATAATGAATACAAATGTGAAAAATTATAAATCAACGACAGGTATTTGTCAAATAATTTTGTATTTCTGAAGTAATTCTAACTGGAGTTCATCAGGAGTCACGACGTTTGTTTTCCATGGAACAGTCGGGCACGTGTTTATCTATGTTTCATCTCAAATAGTTAGGACATAGTTAGACATGATCATACATTACGGATTGGTCATCATTTTTTTCAAGTCTATTTTCGTGCAATTGGTCATAAAATGCATCTTGAATGGTTTCAGTTTGATTTTCTGTTTTGTCTTCTATGGATGATTATCCAGGATCGCGTGATTTCATTTTCCTTGACTTTTTTGATGAAATTGCATAAACTGGTTCAGTTTCTAAGTCAGATTCTTTTGACCTGATTTTAATAGACCTTTTCGTTGATACAGCGTATATGGGTTCATTGGTTATACTTGACGACGGATTATTTGAATCTGTAATCGTTGTAGTGATACATTCACTGTGCGATAATGCTTCAGTTACTAAATCAGATTCTTTTGACTTGATTTTCATTAACTTTTTCGTTGATATAGCGTATATGGGTTCATTGGTTATTTTTCTTGACGACGGATTATTTGAATTTGTATTCGTTGTACTGCTACCTTCACTGTTCGATAATTGTGTCCTACGACTCCCTTGAGACATGTCCATGTATTGTTCTGTAGTCGCAATGCTCCCGCAAGACATGACAATGTATGGTTCTGTTGTCGCATACACTGCGTCACTGGAATCTTCAATTTCGTCATAGTCATCAAACTGATCAATAGACAATTTTTTATATTTCTCCGTGTTAAAGGTAAACTTAGACGCATCGTCAGATGGAACCATATCGTCAGTTGTTTCGTCTATGCCATCATACATACCATCTATCGATAATTCATTAGTAAAAATATGTTTCTCCTCATTGGGATTTAATGGGTCTTTCCTGTCATCAATTTCATCATAATCTGGAATTCGTTCATTTGAGAAGACATGCGTAGTTTGGATAGGAATTGACATTTCCTTTGTATCATCAATATCATCGTAATCACAAGTTAATTTATTTGCAAAATCAAAAGGTCTTCGAGAAGCATGTGTCACATCTTCAGAATCCCTAATATCATCGGTTAATTCATTTGTAAAATCAACTTGTCTTCGAAAAGAATTTATCTCATCTTCAGATTCCCCAATATCAGCGTAATAACCAGTTAACTCATTTGTAAAGTCAATTTGTCTTCTGGAAGCATGTGATGCATCTTCGGGACTCTCGATGTCATTGTAATTACCAGTTAATTCATCTGTAAAGTCAATTTGTCTCCGAGAAGAATTTGGCACATCTTTAGAATCGTCAATATCATCGATATTACCAGATGATTTGTCTGTGGTATCCCTTGCAGGAATTGAAAAGTCCTCCATGTCTTTAATATCACCAAAATCATTTTTTAAAGCCAAATCGGGACATTTGTGGTTTCCTGTATCTGTATTGCTATCCTGATTTATAGTAAGTGTAGGCTTGTTTGGTTGATACTGCTTTTTGAAGTCATTATTGGGATCATAATGGTCATGTTTGTTTTTCTTGTCTTCGTGATCAGATCTATTGATGCTGTTGGAAGTATGTCCAAATTGATGTGATGCAACATTGTTAGTGTTTGAGTTAAGTATTGATTGTTCCGTTTGTGTTTTAGTATGACAAATATTGCTTATTGATTCATCGTTATCGATTGTTTCTTCCGCTTTTCCAGCAGTAATGTTTCCGATTGCTACTTTTAATTTCTTTTCCGAAAATTGAGGACTGCCTCTTTTGAAAGTTGTAAGACGTTTACTCGATTTATTCAAAGATGTCTGCACTTCCAACACATTTGCGTTTACGCTGTCAACATTGTTTCTACCATCAAGTGACTGTTCATAGCTCGTTTCGTTGTCTTCTATTATGTCTTCCAATGGGGATTGCAATTCTGTAATTTGTACAGAATATGAACGTTTGTTAGTAGTGGCAGCAGGCTTTTTCACTACATCTTTCTTCCGCTTGTTGGTATTACTAAAACAAACAAAACATAACAATGAAATATACTTAAAAAACTTCCAACATTATTGTGTTGCTTTGGTTAAATATCAATTTAAAAATCTTAAATAAAAAAGATACCGTTTACAAAAAAAAATTAATGATTTCAAATGAAACATCAAACAAAAAGTATATATATCTCTCACCACAACCACCCTTTACAAATTATTAAAATAAAAGAAAATTAACATAGAGGCCCTCGAGAGCCTGAGTGTGTCGCTTACCCAGGTATATATGCATCTTCAACAATGAAAAATCTCCAACATTGTGAACTAGAATAGAATTCATTACAAAAATCTCTTTTTGTAGATCTTGTACATGTATTGCAGATCATTTTTGCTATTTACAGTGTCTACCTATGTATTATAGTTTTCAGGATAATAGGAAAACACCTCTTAAGGTGGTACCAAACACCTTGACTAAAATTAATTTGGCTCGTTCAATTTTCATAAAATTTTGACAAAATATTTATTTTGACCCTTTGACAAAAATATAAAAATTTCAAAAAACTTGAACCACAAACTTTATCGGAAAAATTTCATTGGATATATAGCAGTTTGACAAACACTAATTTTGATCATTGAGAAGCCTAATATTTCCTGAACAATAGAACGTGATTAAAACGTTCAGCTGATTTTTAAAGAGTTATCTCCCTATAGTGTTATGTACCACCTTAAAATTGGTAAAAACTGTCATTTAAGAGCAATAACTTCATTAAGGAGTCAACTGATAATTTTGACCATTCGACTTAATTGGAATTTTTCGCAGATTTTGTCTTGATGATCAGTTTTACTTATTTGAGTTTTATCTATCTACAGTTTTTTAAGATAAAAGGCAAAAACGCAAATAGTTGTAAATAATCTTCATAAAAGGGCAATAACTCTAATAAGGAGTGATCGGACGATTTCGATCATGTTTGACTTATTTGTCTATCTTCAAGTTGTCTTGATTATCATTTGTTTTCTTAAAGTGTCCTTCTATATATTAAAGATAAAGATATAAGGCAAAAATGCAAAAGATTGATCAAAATTGTTATAAAAGGACAATAACTCCAATAAGATATCGCGGGACGATTTCGGCAATTTGACTTTTTTGTAGATCTTAATCTACTGATCACTTTTGCTCATCTTTTAGACATGTTATAGTCAGACAATTACGGCTATGTTGACTAATTTGTATAACTTTTCTTGCTGATCATGTTTGCAGCTGTTTAAAGTTTCCCTCTATCTATTGTAGTGTACAAGATAATAGGCAACAATGAAAAACATGGTAAAATTTGTTATTTAAGGGCAAGAACTCCAATTAAACAAAAGGTAGATCTCCACATTTTGAACATTTTTGCACATGCCAGATTTTCTCTATGTATAGCGGGTTTGAAGATAATAGACAAAACTTTTATTTTACCCCTATGTTTTATTTTTAGCTATCCCGGCCATGTTAGTTGGCCGGCGAGGTCATAGGGCACATTTTTCAAACCATATACCCCAATGATAATTGTAGCTAAGTTTGGTAAAATTAGGGTCAGTAGTTTCAGAGAAGAATATTTTTGTAAAATTAACGGACAACGGACGACATACGATGGACACCAAGTGATGAGAAAAGCTCACTTGGCACTGTGGGCC